CTGAAAGTTCTCAAGCTGCCTTGGACAGGCAGGCTCTGGAAGAATTAAGGCTGAATGATTTGCGTCTACAGCAGCGGATGGATGAGAATAATCAGAAGATGGAAGCTAGAATGAATGTCCAGGACAGCAAAATTGATACTGTTGTCACCATGGTTCAGAAGCAGAATGCAACTTCTGAAAAGATTCAGGCAATGCTGGAAAGCCTGTTCTCACGCATGCCCCCACAACCTTGAAATTTTTTCATGCATGACATTCTCTATATTTTCCTTACTTTCTGATGTACTTTTGACTATGTTTTGACTATGGTTTGTAATGCTATTTTACTCTGATTCTGAACTATTTTTAATGTTATTAGTTTTTCTGATCTAAATCATTTTAGCACATCACCAGCACTTTTTGATTGCTGACAAAAAGGGGGAGAACAAGAATGATATTTAAAATCAATAACGGATAACTAGACAGAAACTCTCAAACATTCTAACTCTCTATTACTTGAAATGTTTTTCTGTTTTGTCTTTAAGTCTACAGGCACAATGAAGACTAGAAGCTCTGATCAAAATGTAGAAGCTCATGTGGCTCTGATCAAATATGAAGTTCTGATATATGAAGCTCTGATCGACCTAACACTCTGATCTGAAGCAAAGCTCTGACAGGAAAAGCTCTGAAGCTCTGCTCTCTGATAAGTCAAAGACTTACAATCTGATGCTCAAAGACAGAAAAAGATCTGACTCTGAAGAACACGCATATCAAAGGGAAGTAACAAACTCAGGGGGAGTATTTCTTAACTCTAACTTCTCCGTACTTCTTATTCTGATACATAGATCTGATAACCTTTTCACATTATTTTTCATTTAAAATATCTAGTTTTTGTCATCATCAAAAAGGGGGAGATTGTTAGAACAATGTTTGAATCTAGTACCCTATAATTAAGTTTTGATGATAACAAAGTGAAAAGATATAGTAGTTAAATATTTCATGATTGAATTATATGCTACTTAAAATTACTATGCTCTGACTTGCAGATATGCTGATTAAAATAGGCAAGATCACGTTCTCAGCATCAGAATATGAGTTTGCACACCAGCATCAGAAGTTGCTGAATCAGAACGTCAAGATCAGAAGATCAACGCTTGCACATGCTGAAGCTTGATGAACAGAACTGCGCGTAAAATACTCTGATACAGAATCAAATCAGTTCATCAGCAGCAAAGCAGAATCAGAATGAGCCAAGCCAGATCGTGCATTGAAGAAGCAACGGTACTGTGCATTGAAAGCTAATCAATACCAACGGCATCATTCTAGACAAGATCTGCTCAGAAAGGAAAGCTTGTAAATAGCATTGAATCAAGAATATTTGCTTCAACGTTCATCTTCTCAAAGTGCTATATAAACCAAGCTTTGAAGATTATCACGGCTAATGCTTCCAAACTCTCTACACGCAAAAAGCTGATCAATAATCTTCACTCTACAAGTTTTGCTAAACCACCAAACTCTGATACTCTATTAGCGTTTAGCAACTTAGTACTCTAAGCTTCATTTGTGTAAACATCACAGTTGTGATATAGTTTTTGTAGAAACATTCACACACATTTGATTATTCCTTTGTAAGAAAGTATTGCCTTGACAAACCGGATTGTGGTTTGAATCAAGAAGGTTTTAGCAGTTGCTAAAGCAGATTTGTATTCAGTTGAATATAGTGAATTAAGACCTCGTTGGAGAGAGGCGAAATCACCTTGAACGGGTGGACTGGAGTAGTTTGAGATCAAACGAACCAGGATAAAAATACCTTGTCATTTGCTTTAAGTTTCCAGTTTTACAATTCAACCCCCCCTTCTTGTGTTTTTCACCCCTTCACGTATTTGAACTGTATCTGAAAGCTGAATCTGAATGAGTATTAGAATGGCATTTGTATCTGGAGCGTATCTGAACTGTATCTGAAAACAGAATCTGAATGAGTATCAGAATGGCATCCGTATCTGGAGCGTATCTTAACTATATCTGAATGAGAATCTGCTTTATTTAGAATGTTTCCGCTGGGAATTCCTGTTTTGCTTGAGAAGAAATTTGTTGGGGAACATGAAAAGCTTATGAATCAGGCTAGAGAATTCTTTAAGATGTCGGAGCAGTGATTGGAGATTCTTGCTCTGTCGGGGATACAAGGATGCTTGACATCACTTGGATGTAAGCTAAGGATATGGCGGTGACTTTTTAGTAGGATGCCCCTGCCTCTATACATGCTGAAAAAAGTATCTGCGGAGATTTTATAGATGGTTTGAGTGTCATCCCAACTCCCGGGGTTTTGAGTAAATATTGATCAGGGTAATAAACTTTCTACTGATAGACAAGTGACGAGATGACATGTTATACGCTTTAAATCCCTAACTTTTGCCTAGACTATCTTTCAGATTTTCAGTCCAACGGGATACCCTTTAGTTATTTTTGCCTAGGCCTGTCAACCTAGTGGGTCTTTTCATGTGTCATATTTTCCGACTATGTATATGTTCATCGGGTGCAGAGGATTGTCACTGTCTATAGTAGCAAGTGTTGTCACACTGCCAGAAGATGTTTATGTGATCGCATGTGCCCTTTTATATGTGGGAGCCTGTGTGGGGCTGCTTCAGGATGAATCTGGTGCACCTGATGTTTGATCAAGTTTATGATAGTTTTGAATTTCCTAGGTATCGTTTCTAAGAACAGTCATGGTAGGATTATCAGACATGATACTGACACCATTTGATACTACTGGCACAGACAAGCAATTTGGTGGTACCAAAGGTTCAAATTTCACAGTGATTTTTGCTGGAATCCACGATCAATGTAACAGGCCCTGAGTGATTTAAATGGAGATCTTCCCCTGGCTATTCAGCACTTTTGAGAGATTCATTTCATATTGGCTTAACCGCCCCAGATTAACTAGACACCATGTCACGCCCCTTGATTATGAAAGGCCTGTTATCGGGAATGTTGTTTTTCTCGTCTGAGGTGATTCTGTCCATTGAGAGGATCTTCGTTCATTGAATATTCGTTGTTAATTTATCTGTTGTTTGAACAATTAGCCATATCCAAACAATGTCATTTAAAGAATGTAAATCTTATGTTTGTCTTAAAGTTTGAAAATTCATTTTTAGTAAAACAAACAAATTTTGTAAGAGTGTGATATCAACTCAGGATTTATAGCAAACCTTATAAGAGTTAGGATACCTTTTTGTAACAGTATACTTTCGAACTAACCCATGCTTCAGTTAGGACTTTTAAGGGTTGTAACGTGGCCTGGTTCACAGTTTTAAGAAACAAAGGATAAGGGCTCAAAATTTAGTTGTACCCAACCCGTTCTTCGTGATGTTCTTCATTCCTATGCTCAGTTAATTGTGGGTTTAACTCCTGTTTGAGTCTTTGTTATGATATTCCGGTGATGGTTCGGAAATTAAAAGTTTATTTTGAAGAGGCAGTCATTTTTGTAATCTTTTCTTGTTGTTGAGGATTTGTAGCGGCCTCTTTTTTTTTATTATCCCTTCTTTTTCATGAACTGTTTCTTTTATGACTACAGTTAGTGAGATGCCCCCAGTTTTTTCTTAAGTCTCCTTCATAGGTTTTGACTTAGCGGGCTTTTCTTTTGATAGATAATGACTGCCGACTTTAATGATGATACAGTGAAACAACCGGCTGAAAATTATCAAACAATGAAGTTGCCATCAAACGTCGTTTATCCCACATAGAGAGAAAGGTAAACATCGAGAAAACCTGAGAAGGAAGAAGTCACAGTCTTGCGACCGAGAGATCGGATAAGGGAATCTGTTACGTGAGGGGAAGGTATTAGCACCCCACACGCCCGTAGTACTCTACAGTATCCACTCTTGTTGTCTATCTTATGGGTGTGTCTAATCTATGCTTACTATTTACTACTGAGGAAGAATGCATGCAAAAGGAATGAGAAAAGAATGTAGGGAAAATAAAGTTGTACTCGCTTGGGCCCTACCCCAATTCCTACGTATCCTTTTTGAGGAATCAGAGTTACCGTAGTTCGACTAACATGTTTTGTTTGTTTGTGTTTTTTATAGACAATGTTAATTCCGCCTTCTGCCGCAGCTCGACCTTTGGAGACTTATGCATTGACACAGAAGTAAATTAATCATGTCCTTGCTTTAAAATGGTTTCGAGTTACGCCCTCGAGGCAAGATGCCACACTTGATTGGTTTGTATTTTGTTGCGGATAATGGCTAGTTGACCTCAAGAGACAGATATTAGCCACTTTTCCAATTATCCATGAAAGGAGTCTTTGAGACTTGAACCATACCTAGGCCCTAGATGGAAGAACAATAAGATCTGGAAGAGACCCGCTTATCATTTCCCATACTCAACAAAAGTATGATTCTCATCAGTAAATTTTTAAAGTATTTTGAAGTTTGAAAGGAAAAAGAAGTTTTTGTTTTTGTTTTATGCAAATGCAAAAGGAGAAAAGTCAAAGGGATGCTATCATATTTCTAAACCTAATGTTATCATGCATTATTAGACCTAAAGTCGGAATTTTGAGGGGATTCTACCTAATGTTTGCATGCTTGGATTTAGAAGCCTAATGTCTAATTTTTGTTCAATTAAATTGAAGATTAAATTTGAAACAAAATCACCTAAGGAATCGTGAAAGACTATACAAACAAGCAAAATTAGGCAGCAACAATTCATACCAAATATCGCAAACGAAATACACGGCATAAAATGAGTAAAACTAGTAGTTAAAATTGACTAAAAAGTTAGCCAAGGGGGAAATTAATTCCTAAAATGTCTTATAATATTTTTACCATTTTTATTATGTATTTTTGTTATTAAATAAAAAAAATCATGAAGAAAAGAATTAAATAATTATAAAAAGAAAATAAGAAAATCAGGGGGTGCATGCTGCTGCTAGTGGTGCATTGTAGTAAATCTCGCTGGGCATAGGATTAGAGTCCACTAACAATCCTTTTCTTTGTTAAGATCTTCATCCTAATCAGAAAAGTGGTATTATGGGTCAAATAGACAAAACCCGGTCCATCAACAACCACTTTTATGATTTATCTATTTTTTTGCTTAAATCCCAAAAAACGTATGGGCCCTGCCAAACTTCTTATGCCCCTTCCCCTTCTAGCGTGTTCTCTCCATGTGATTTTCGGTCGGCATTCTTCGCCACCGCCGCCAACACGATCTCAAATGACCTTGTTTCAAGAAAATTTCAACACCACTCTGGCCTAATCCACAGCCCTGAACCTAAATATAGCACTAATTCCTTGAGAGAATCCCTCTATATGACCAGATCTAAGGAAAAAATCACTAAGAAAACCTAATTTCAAAAGTTTCGGTTATCCGACATTTGGACATAAAATTAAGCGATTGATAAAGGATTACGCATCAAACTATCAAGCTTGATGAAGTAGTAACAAGAAAACGCGAAGAAAAGGAGCATAATCGACTTACCAACCAAAGTGGCTCTAACGACTCTTCGAAGGAGGCGGAGACAGAGAGAAATCCAGTGAATCTCGCGTATTCAGGTAAGACCACTCCTTAATTGCTGAGTGATATCTTCTACATTCTGCTTCAGCTTTTTCTTCGATCGGATTCTGTTTTTTGTCTCCTCTTCTCCTTTGTTGTTCTTGCTTGTGCGTCTTCTGCTTCTGTTGTTCTTGGAAGTACTATGTTGTTGCATGAGTTTTATGCTTTTGTTGTGACCTGAATTGAGGTTTTGAAACAGAGATTTTGAGGATCGAATTGAGTAGAGGATGGTGATTAAGAGATGAAGGTGAGGGATTTGTAGATGGGTTGCAGGGTGAGACTTGAGTATTGAAGGAGAAAGGTTAAAGATGAAAAATGAGGATTGAAGGTGCGTGTGAAACTGGAAACAATAGTGGAGAGGATGAAGGTCTATGAAGATTGTGCAGAGTCCCCTTTACAGAATGTTGATGAGTTTGTTATATAGATGAAGCAGATAGGAATTCAGTTGGGGATCAATGGTGAGATTTCAATCAGTTAAGTGAAAGTTAAGTAGAGCCAGAAGTTACTTAGAATGGATTTGAGTTAGTTGTTGATAGGATTTTAGAGGAGTTAGGATGTTAGAGAGCTATTTCTGTTTTGACAGTTTGCAGGGCTGTTTTAGTGGTTGGAAACTGTTAAAGAAAACCTTTAGGGGTTTAGGCTGTTAGTTTGTTAATCAGTTATAGGTTGGTTAAATTCTGTCATGGAGGTGGTTAGTGAAACATCTTTTACAATTAGTTAATTAGCTTGGACTCAGTTAGTTAGGTTGAGTGACTCAGTGGGTCAAGTTCGTTGGTGGTTAACTTCCAATTCTATTAATTGTTCTGTCAGTTTTGGTATTTTGACAGTTAGGCTTTTGTGTTTCAGTTATGAAATTTTTTTGATTCTATTTTTTTGCTTCAACTAACAGTGTTGAATCAGTTTTAGAAGCTATGTTAATTATATGCTCTCAGCTCATCTTTTTCTATTTCTTATCCTAAATTTTATTTACCTTGCTTCACATTAATTCTGGCTTTGCTTTGCATCACGCCTAGGGCGTCAATGTGATTGTATTGTCTTTTGATCTTGCAGGCTTATCAAAATTTGGATTGCTTGCTCATGATCAACTTGGTGTTACCTGCTGAACAAAATAATGTATAGGTTATGTTCTGCAAGTCTACTTTCGCATCTGCATCAGTAATGGTTTTAGAATTATTTCAGGCATGGATTTCATGGGGAGAAGGTGCAGATTGACTTGGCATCTTTCCATTTTTATTTCCTTAGTGCTGCAGGTTTAGGGATGTCAGTATCTAAATGAGATTTTGAACTCTGATGTATAACTTAGAACATAGGTTGCAGCTTCAATTGTAGATTGCGGGGCTGCATGTGTATGAATGATTTTTTGTTGTTGTCTGTGATGTAGGTCAGGTGATGAGGTTAATTGAAGGAATTTGGCTGCAAGGTTGCTTGTAAGTGAAGAAGAATTTGGAAGAATTGTAAGAACATGGAGACAAATGGAGTTAAATCAATGAAGACTTGGAGGGATGTTGAAGGATGAGTTTTTTAGGTATTAGATCAAAATTTGTTCCATGTCAACAATAGAATTTTACTCTAATTTTCCAATGTAAATGGTATTGAGGTAAATGGCAAATTTATGGAAGTGCAATGACTTCTATCCTTGTAATGAACAAAGTTTGAATAAAGTCAGATCATTTTCTCCCAGTCTTTTTGTAATAGCTTTTTGCACTTGCAACTTTGAATGAACTTTTGATTTCGGTGTTGACTTTGTCAACCAAGTAATATGTAATAAAAGGTTTCCCTCCTTTTCAAATTTGAAATTCAATTTTCCTTCTTTAATGCCTTAATAATTCCACAAAGTCCCCTGTATGTTTCCAATAATGTAACTGTGGTCGAGTATTAATGGAGAATGAGCAATTCTTAGTCAACACCTCCTCTCTTATGATGACTTCATAAAAAAGATGATCCAATCTTTGACTTGTTCAACAGGTAATCAAACAAACCCTTATCCATGATGAGGCCTTGACTCATGAAGTCTTTACTTAAACTTTTAGTGGAACCCTAATGATCCTGCCCTTGATGAGGATGACAACTTTGTAGCTTAATGAAAGAAATAAGTTCTCAATGATCAAGAAATCAAACCCTAGCTCCACAAACCATAGTTAATGAGAAACCAATTGATTCACGCCTGAATAAAGATAAGATTCTAAAAGCACATACAAAACCCTATCTTCAAGATCCTTGTTCTCATGCCAAATTTACTAATTGATGATGCATGATGTGTTAAATGACCAATTGTAGGGTATGCAGATGGAACGAGAAGCGCAAAATGCATAAGCCAGATAAAAGTGAGAGGGTAGGAAAAATTTGGGGTATTACAGCTGCCCCTATTTAATTGTCTTAAACCTGAAAGTACGATTGGCATCTGCCTTTTGGAAGTTCGAGGTAGAAGATGATTAAATATCAATGCTAAAAATTTGTTCTGGAAGAAAGTGTGAGTATTTTTTTTTTGTGATATCTGTTGGGGAAAGAATTTTTCCTTTTTCTAGTGAAGAGACGAAGATTAGACTTGTAACATGGCAACAAAGGCTAAAACAAGATGGAGGTTGGACTTACAACTTGCCGTGATGCCAATGCAAGAAAAAGGTTGGTACAAAAAGACAGCGGACAAGGTCTACGGGTGACCTACGATCCTGAGGTGAAACATGAAAGTGATTTGTCGGGGAACCTAGCTTATGGGTGATCTCAAGTTCTAAGACAAGATCCATTGGAAGAACCTAGCCATCAAGCGATCTCAAGTTCTAAGACGATTTGAGGAAGAACCTAGCCAATGGGCAATCTCAGGTTCGACGATGATCTATAGGAAGAACCTAGCCATCAGGCGATCTCAGGTTCTAAGATGATATGAGGAAGAACCTAGCCAATGGCCGATCTCAAGTTCGACGATGATCTATAGGAAGAACCTAGCCAACAGGCGATCTCAGGTTCTAAGACGATCTGAAGAAGAACCTAGCCAATGGGAGATCTCAGGTTCGATGATGATCTAAGGAAGAACCTAGCCAATAGGAGATCTAAGGTTCGACGATGATCTAAGGAAGAACCTAGACAACGGGCGGTATAAGGTTCTAATATGATCTATGGGAAGAACCTAGCCTACAGACGATCTCAAGTTCGACGATGATCTATGGGAAGAATCTAGCCAAGAGGCGATCTCAGGTTCGACGATGATCTATGGGAAGAACCTAGCCTACAGGCGATCTCAAGTTCGACGATAATCTATGGGAAGAACTATCAAAGAGGCGATCTCAGATTCTAAAATTATCTAAGGAAGAACCTAGCCAATGGGTGATCTCAGGTTCGACGATGATCTATTGGAAGAACCTAGCCTAAGGGCGATCTCAGGTTCGACGATGATCTATGGGAAGAACCTAACCTACGGGCGATCTCAGGTTCGACAATGATCTATGGGAAGAACCTAGCAAGAGGCAATTTTAGGTTCTAAGATGATTTGAGGAAGAACCTAGCCAATGGGCGATCTCAGGTTCGATGATGATCTATGGTAAGAACCTAGCCTACGGGCGATCTCAGGTTCGACGATGATATATGGGAAGAACCTAGCCTACAGTATAACGCCCGTAATTTAATTAATTATTTAATTAGATTATTTTTGGATTATTTGTGAAGTTGTGTTATGATGATAGTTGATGTGTTGTTGTTATTGGATTTATTTATTCTATTAAGTTGTGGAATAATATAATAATAATAATATTATTTGATGTGGGCTTATTTTAAGGACTAGAAGTTGTAGAAAAGGGGTGTAGGAGTTTTAAGCCCATTAAGACATAATGAGAATTATAGGGTTATTATATTAGTTATTTAGAATTAGTATGGAAAAGAAGTAGCAGTAAGAAGAGAAAGAGAATAAGGGTTGGAAGAGAACGTGAAAGTTGCAGAAAAGAAGGAAAAGAGGCAGAATAGAATTCAATCGGAAAAGTCGTAGAGCAACCTTCAATCTAAGGTAAGGTTGGGATTCTGACTCTATAATAGGGTTTATGATGAGTAGTATGTGGGATTAGATGTGAAAAGTTGTTTTGTTTATGATTGGAATGTATATATTGTTGTTTGATGAGGATCAATAATTTAGAGACGAATAATAATGCCCTAATGCTGTATAATTGATGTAGAAGCATAGGATTATTATAATTGATGATTACCTATGATTAGAGGATGTTTTTAGGGCCTAAGGCAGGGAAATCGTGGTGAAAACACAATGAAATCACAGAAAATATTCATAACAGAACAGTATGAGTCGACCTCAAAGGTCATGCATCGGCACATGCAGGCTTTTAGACTCAGAATGAGTCAATACATAGAGCTATGCATCGATAAATGCAGTGTTGCAGACTCAATATGAGTTGATACAAGAGGATTGCATGTCGACTCATGCAGTATTTTAACCCAGTACGCGTCGACTCAAAACATTATGTGTCAACTCATGTAGTCTGATTTTTGGCAGATTCGTTCCAAAGGTTGTAACTTGAGTTTCTAGACTCCATTTGAGGTGCCACTTGAAGCGTTGGATAGATAACGCGATGAACTTCATTATTAAGGATTAAAATGAAGGATAAGAAGAATAATCCTAGTACCCAAATTAGGATTAGAGTTAGCTTCTCGCGTTAATCGCTATGATGATTTTATGAAGTATGATGAGGATAATATGATTATAGATTATTGATTGGTTCATAACAGTAAGATTAATGATGATAATGATGTAATATTGAAGAATAATAATATGTAGACGTTTGGTAATTAGGGATAAGCCTTAGATGATTAATTAATTATAGGCATTATCATGTTGTAGGCCTGTGGCCAACATTGAGGGATTGTTGATCTGTCGTTGTATGATTGTTATGGTTGAATTGTTGTGGAATTATGTTGATGAAAATATGTTGATGAAATTGTGTTGAAGAAATTATGTTGATGAAATTATGTTGATGAATTATGCGATGCATTATGTTGATGAATTATGCGATGCATTATGTTGATGAATGATGTTGAGATGCCTCTAATGAATGGCAGTTATTAAGATGTAGGCTTCTGGACAATGATGATGTTGTGTTGAGAAGTTATTAAGTGTGGTTGTTATTACTACATTCATGATTGTGTCACATACATTGCATATCAAGATGGAGCTGATGCTCGTTAAGATGGCATGTATTGGTGAATATTAAGATGAAGGCTTGTGCCTTGTTGATGCCTCTATTTATTGGCAATTATTTTGAGATGGGAGTTCTGCTCCAATGGTACCACATGCATTTGCATAGTATTGAGTCACATGATATGATTGCATGAAGAAGTTATGTATTTATGCGGTAAATGTGTATGTTGTTGGTATTTTGTTGCGATTATTATTGTTCATAAGATGTGAAGTAGTGTTATTATATGAGATGATCTAACATATTATTTATCATACATTTTATTATATTGTTAGATATCTCACCCCTTCTGTTTTAATGTTACCCTTACGTTGGTAACATGCAGATAATCCAGAGTGAAGGCAGTATACCTTCAGTGAGTCAGTGTCATTGCTCTGATACGTAACACTCGGGGGGATGAACGCTTGTTGTTTTTAATTATTGATTATTTCAGTTGTTGAACTTTAATTTGATTGTTGCTAAGTATGTGTTATTTTGAAGTTGCTGTAATTGTGGGACAAAGATGTTATTATAATTTTTCTACGTAGATGTTCAAGTTTTTGAATTAAGAGATTAAATTATTACGCTGATGGTTCATTCGAAGTATTAAAGTGTTACGTATCCAAATTGAATGAAATGTGTTTTTAAGTTGAATTTGTGGAATCCTGATTCAGTTGTATGAATTTTAAAACTCTGATTTACATTCTTAATTACCGGGTAGAATTAGGGTGTTACAAAGTTGGTATCAGAGCAAAGGTTGACCCGTCTGACTAAGTTGTCGAGTCATAGTTGTCTAACAATCGAGTATTGTTAATTTGAGTTCTAAGCATTGTTTATGTTGTAGTGATAAGTTGAGATGGATGGAAGGAATGATGCTGCACTTGTTGCTGCTTTAGAAGCAATGGCACATGCGATGGAGAATCAGCCAAATG